ACTACAATCGGCACCAGGCCTTCTCGGCGGCGAGCGCCGGCGACGTAAGGGCGCTCACCGGCGGCGTCGGCGCTCTCACGTGCTCTGCCACGGCGGCGTGCTGACAATATAATTAACAACGTTAACGCCGCGTGCAAGTTCTGGTTGTGTTTCCTTGACATCTAGTAACATATATCAACATGAGCGGCAGTGGCAATTATGAATTATATGTCAAAATGAATTAAACATAACATTACTAACTAGTAGTAATTGATAGTGCATCCTTTGATGACAAGAACTGTTCACGTTGTTGTTAATCACTTTAATCAATCGCCTTTTATTCCCCACTGGCAGAAAGGAGGATGGAGTGTTCTTTATTCAAAATACACGGTTGACCTTTAGATTTGGACCGCAGTATCATCTATTTGGATCCGTCGTTATGATTTATAGGGTGTTTTTGGTTTAGTGAATGGATTTAGTATCCACGATGAGATGGTACCGTTTAAGGAAAGGGATTACTTATACAACTTTCGATAATGTTTTTAGAGTAAATTGCATCAACGGTATACGGTTAGATGGATTAGTGATGCCCTCGGCCGCCGCTCGAACGTCGCGTTCCACCATCGGAGCCCACCTCCCACTGTTCGCCGTTGAGCACCATCTCTCCTCTCTCCTCCGGCTGGCAATGTCTGCCGCCGTGTGCCCCCCTTTCCCTCTCTAATCCCTCTCCCCTACTTCCCTAGGTGTCACCGCCGCCCATCCTCCCCTTCCTTCACTGAACCGTCGCCGCCGTCACCATCGTTGTCGTCATCTTCCCCGCGCCGGTCGCCACCGTCCCGATGAGCCCCTCCCCTTCTGGGCGCACCGCCGCTCCACGGTGGACACAGCCACCCGTGTCATTGATGGTTGGGGCCCGCCTGTCAGCGCCGGCTCCTCCTCTCGCTGACATCAATGCTCCTTTGTTTAATGCGCAATAATTTACTAAGGCTTGTCTGTTTATAGTAAAAACACAAAGAATCTTCTAAAATTCATAATAAATTCATCCGAGCTTCATTTAAGTCCATTCAAATTGCAATAAATTCATAAAAATGCCTAGAATCTATTAAAAATGGTTTTGTTCCCTGTTTCAGTAGACTTATAGCTTATTTTGCTTGTGTGCTTCGTTTGTCGCGTATATTCCGGCATTTCCAACGCACCAGTTTACTACGAAGTCGTTGCAGAGGTCCTAGCAGTGCCAGAGCAAGGAAAGTCATGCATTACGAATGATCATATTGTGCCTACTTTGCAAATATCTCACTTTCTATTTAAATTGCATTATTTTATATTGTTATGTGGAATGGTTCCTGTTTTACTTAGCCGTAGCTTGTTATCCTTGTATCATTGATAACTTGGGAATTAACATGACTAGATATTGGTTTAGGAGATGCTTGGCCATGATTATATCAACTAGCTCATTATGGGGAATATCACTAATATCTTATACTTGATTAACGATGATGAGATTTGAGATGTACAACCATGGTTATAATTCATCTAAAATATGTCTAATGGTGGGCTCTGGGTGCATGGTTTTGTTAGATGCATCCATGACATTTAAGGACCAGTTCGCGGGAAACTATGGAAGAATTACTGTATACCACAAGCCAACGTGGGCAACGACTGGGCTTGTAGTATAGCTTTTCCCTTCCTGACATATCCAGGAAAGGGTGAGTGTGACAGAGTTTGGATGGGCTCTGCGACAGTCTTTGTGGCTTCCAGATTCACCTGGGCAGAAGAGGGGGCTGCTTACCTTGGTTTTAAGGGTAGGGCGAAACCTATAGTGTGGTGCGCTTGGCTAGGGAGGGTTATGCGAAGGGTCATGTCGCAGTTCCTTTCTGGCATGTCGTGGTGGCATGTCGGCGCACGGTAACGTGTCATGGGGCTGTTTCTCGTGGGTACAATTGTACACTTTTGATCAGAGTAAAACAATTCGAATAGCCGTGCCCGCGGTTATAGGCAATCAACCAGATTCATCGTGATTAGTCTCATCATTAATATTTTGACTTAATGGTACTGATATAGTTCGGGTGGTTGGTTGGGCCTATCACAACGTGGTAGTGATGAGTATTATTGATTAATTTACTTCAATATTTTTACCGCTTTCAACTACTGGTTTAGAACTGCTTTATGCAAAAGAACCCCTAGCCTATCTTGGAAATACTTGCATCCTACCTCCTCTTGGTATGACTTGCTGAGTACAATGGGTAGTACTCAGTCTTGCTCTATCTTTCCCACCCCAGAGTTGGAGTACTTCTCGGATGGAGGTTACTCGAAGGAGTAGGCTTCGTCGCTGCCGTCAAGAATGCCTATGGAGTGGAGTTGCCACGCTGCAAGCGTTGAGTTATTAGTTTAGCTCGCTTTATCTTTCTGCTGCTTTTGTAAGACTTATAATGATGTTTTGTAAGACGTGGATCTGTATGTTAACTTTGTCATTTGTGTATGCTGGTTGGTCCTGGACAAGGGTTTGTTTAATGCACATTCTGCCTGAGATTTCTCGTTCGTGATCTTTTGGGCGTGAAAGACAACGTCCTTCCGAGGAGCGTCGGGGTTTTCATTTCTGTTTTTCATCGAAATTCTGGAATTTCAGCGTCACCAAAATTTATGAAATTTTTGGAATTTTGAAACTTTTTTTGCCCGAAATTATTTGAACATTAACAATGACTGAATTTGATAAATGTTTACCAAATTCACAAAAAGAATGAAAAAATCTTAAAAATTTAGGCGAGATGTTTGCTTCCTGGAGTCTAGTGAAATTACCGAAATTTCGAACCGAAATTGCATTCCTTGAGGAGCGTAGGACTTCAGCCCTACTAAATTCTCTTCCTTCTATTACCTATTTGAGGGACGAGGATTCCTACAGAGGGACGACAGATTCGAGCTGGCATTGTCGCTCCTACGTGGCGAGTTGAGACCACACATATGTAGGAGCACTGTGCATGGCTTGAAGCATATCTATTCGGTGGACCAACCTAAGCAGTGACTCGGTGTAGTTACTCAACCTCTCCGCCTGATCCCCTTCTCTTTCTCGCACTCTCTCTCTCTCTCTCTCTCTCTTTCCCCTGATCGTGTAACGCCACCGCTCTGATCCTCAATCGCCTTGGAGTTGTCGCCTCTCCAATATATCGGTTCGATTGATCCACATTTGATGATCGCTCTTCAGGTGCTGCCTGCCGGAATCAACATGTCGAGTTTCCTTAAGTTCAGCCTCTCTTTAATCTCCATTGCTCTCAGTAGCTGCTCTAGGTGGCAGCAGGAGCTCGGGCCGGCGTATCTTAGTACAAAGGTGAGGGTTGTGAGGGGTGGTCATTGCACGTTGATGACCAGCAAGGCCAAGAAACGGCGGTGTTTAGATCCAGAAGGCTCCAAAATACAACGGCCGGTGGTCTCCTCTATTTCCCTAACACTGTCTTATACCCTCCCATGGTTAGCGTCACTACGTCTTCCGCCGGCAACAAAGGGGCAGGAGGTGGAGGCAGGGAGGTGTAGCAGGAGAGGATAGGGTGGTGATGGAGAGGAGGTGCTGACAGAGTGGAGTGGGTGGCTATTGATGAGTTGTCGTCGAAGCCAATCAAGGTAGGTTCAATGGACAGTGCCAATGTAGCCGTTTGTAGTGTTGTTTCTTTTTTTCATTCTACTAGCAAAATACCTATCCGTTGCATTGGGTAACGACGGGAGGGATGAAGTTTGATCTCAATGATTTATTGAAGCATCCAAACATGATAATAAGCATTGGCAACATGTACCGTTATCACAAAGGCATATGTGTGCTTGGAAAATTAGTTCGATCTACATGGGTAGGATGTGGATGATGCTCTTGACGCATGGGCCTGATGATTGTAGCATGGAGGAATGGAGTACCGAACGATGCGATGCTCCAGACGCATGGGCTGATGATTGTAGCATGCAGGAATGGAGTTCGGAACGTTGCTCCTTTGTGCAGGAGGTGATGGTGCAAATTTAAGAGGACATTAATTATTTTAAATTGCAATTTTTTTGTGAAACTTTTATAATTGTTTTTTTACAATCGAATTTTTATGCCCGTGCATTGATTTTTTTATTAGAGAAGTGTATTTTTTACCCGGCCTCTACATCCAACTAGATATATGCAACCTTTTAATCGGGAACTTAGTCCCTCAAATAAGCCGATCTGAAATTTGCTCCTATCACTATTACACAAAAGATTTTTCCGTGCGGTCAAAATGCAATTTTCCGTGTGGAGTTCCTGCCCGTCTACACCCAGGTGTCTGTGAACATCCATATTTTCGCGTGGGGGCAGCCCAACCGCACAGGATAATCCATATTCCCGTGCGGTCAGATTAAGTGGACCGCATGGGATAATTGATTATCCCACGCGGTCAAATTATACCGCCCGCACTACAAGAAATATGACCTTCTGTGACGAATTCCTCGTGACATTGGAGCAATTTGTCATTAGCACATTCCATTTTATAACGATTTGTATGAGATGGGGTGGCGTAGTGACGAAAAAAATGTGTTCGTCGTTAGTACCAACTAGAAATTATCATAAACTCTTTCAATGGGATATTGTGATGAATATTAATTTGTCATAAGGGGCAAAAAGCAAACGTCACATATTTATGACAATATTGTTTTGTCATGATATTTTTTTCCAATTGTTTTCAAAAGAAAAAAATAATTGTTAGTGCAGTTCTTACAGCAGCCCATTTACCCTTCTCCCATCCTTGCCGGCCCATTAGATGAAGTCCACCGCACCCTTCTCCTCCCATCCCTGCCCGACCGACCCATTTAGTGAAGCCCAACATTACCCTTCCTCCGCCCATTAGGCCCAATCCCGGCCAGCCCATTAGGTAAAAAGCCCACTACGATTCCTCCCATAGTTGCCGGCCCGGGAAAAATATGTGTAGCCGGGATTCGAACCGGAGACTTCTTGCTCACCTCTAAATGATCTTTCCACTAGGCTAAGAAGAGAATACATTTCAGAATCTCCTGATTATTTACTAAATGTATATCACGTTCCCAAAATATAGGCTCTGAGAGGCAGTGGCCGTGGGCACATCTGGGCTTTTTATCGAGGGCGCCAGCGCCGCCTCGGACCGCCGCCTCCGTTGCCGGCGCGTCGGAGGCTCGGACCCCCGCCTCCGGTGCTGGTGCCTCACACCCCTGCCTCCGCTGCCGCCGCCTCGCACCCCCGCCTTCGCTGCCGCTGCGAGCCACGCGGTTGCTCGTCTGGGCGCATCGAGGGCGCCGGCGCCGCCTCGGACCGCCGCCTCCGGTGCCGGCGCCTCGGACCCCCGCCTCCGCTGCCGCTGCGAGCCGCGCGGTTGCTCGTGACAGCGGTGCGCCTCCAACTGTCGCCTCCGCTGCCACTGCGGAGCTGCAAGGCGCCGCCACCGGCGACCAAGCAGCGAGCAGCCACCGGTGATTGGCAGCGACTCTTCCAATCCATCACCGGCCTCAGCCACCGCCTACCTCGGCACAAAACTGGTGAGTGTCTTTAGAGAAAAACGTATTTAGAATAGAAAATTCTCATCATGGCTAAAGACATTTTTAAATATTCAATAATTTGCTATTTGTTATCTTATCTCACCGTTTAGGGGATGGACAGAAGTTGGATCAATAGTAGGCTATTTAGCAAGCCGCATCTTGATGGGGTCAATGAGTTCATGAAATTTGTTTTAGAAAGATTTGATGAGAATGCAGAGATACTTTGTCCATGTCGATGGTGTTTGAATCGGATTCATCGACAGAAAGGACATGTGGAGGATCACTTATATATTTATGGGATAGCCAGCACTTACACTAGATGGATATACCATGGAGAACAATCCGATGCCGGAATTAATGAAAATGAAGACCATCTGGATGAACATACTAGTTTTAGTGAGGATGTTGGTATAAATGAGGATGAAGAAGAGAACCCTCCCGACAGAATTCCTGACATGGTAGATGAGTTGTACATAGCAGAAGGTCAAGATGGAGGGAAGTCTATGTTTGCAGCTATATTAGATGAGATGAAGCAGTAACTTTACCCTGGTGTAGATTGTACAAGATTTTCTTTTGTGGTGAAGTTACTTCATATCAAGTCATTTTATCCAATCAGCAATGCTTGGGCCTATTGGGCCTTTTCAATATGTATGGCCCATTCCATATTTAATTCAATATAGCTGAATTGGGCTGAATTTATTAAAAATCTATTTGGACTTACAATAAGCCTATCCCATTAACAGGTTTATCACTATATGGGCTTTAGTAAGGCCTAGCCCAAAAACAGGTTGCTCATTAAACGGGTCTTAACAGGCCATATGGAATCTCATGACGTTTTTCAGGCTACATAATGATGAATGAGTGTCTCAAAGTTACGACGACAGAAGGATCATCACTAGATTAATGATGAAAAAATAAGGTTTCGTTATAGAACGCCATTAGAGACGCATGATAAGTGACGAATGAATTTTCGTCACGCGAGCGTCACAGATTGCGAAACATGACGAAATTTTACGTGTTTGTGACGTAAATGTGTTTGTGACGTAAATGAAACGTCACCTATCATAAGATCTCTTGTAGTGGCATGCAAAAAAGAAAACCGAAAAAATCCAAAACCCTAGAATTGCCCGCTGCCGCCGCTTGTGGTCGCCGTCATCCTCGTCGCGCCGCCGCCACTCCAATCGTCGTCGCTGTGGTCGTGCCGCCACCGCTCCCGAGCCCACCGATCCCAGCCGCCGCTGCTCTTGAGCCCGCGTCCTCCGCGACCAGCCGCCGTCACTGCTCCCGAGTGCCTCCTCCTCCTCCTCGTCATCGGCGTGGCATGGATCCGGTCGGTCGCCCACCACGCCGCCTCCCACCCTTTCCCGGCCGCCGCCTCATCAGCGGCGAGCCGGGTGCCTCCCGCGCCCCGTGCGCTTGGTGGGGGGGGGAAGAGAGGAAAGGCAGAGAGAGGAGAGAGAGAGAGAGAGGAGTGATTGAGGTAGAATACAAGGGAAAAAGGAAGAGAGAAGGTGAAAAATTTGAATTGAGTGAGAGGGAAAAGAGGGAGAGGTATTTTTGCGTGCGGTCCAATTAAGAAGCCCGCACATGAAAATTGATTTTCGCGTGTGTGCCTCTTAAGGTTCCACACGTGAAAATGGGGGCCGATTTTTGCAGACGCACACGAAAACAATTTGTCTGGGAAAATGGGAGCTCCTTGTCTAGGAAAATCTTTTGTGTACTAGTGTATGAAGATTTGAACACAGGACCTTGGAGTGCTACTCAGGTCACTACAGCAACTAGACTGCATGCCTTTTCGCAGCCTATGCATTGATTATAATCACAATGCAACAGTACAATGCTATGGTCCATTTTTTGTCTCCCCTGGTTTGCACTTGAAAATGTGGTGAATTTGGCACACATTGATAGGGGGGCCGCCCAACCTTCTCGACATAGGATCCGGATACACCGTGAAACCTCACGAATTGGATGAATAACACACTGCCCGTGCAACGCACCTTTGACCACGAATTCGCAAAATCACATGCTTTGATAGGTTGATCCACTTAACCACGCAAAAGTGGATCTATTGCCCCCTCAATTCCCTACTCCCTCCGTCCCATAATATAGCAACCTAGAACTAGATGAGACATATCTTAGTAGTACGAATCTGGACATGCCCTCTGCCTAAATTCGTAGTACTAGGATACATCTCATCCGGTCCTAAGTTGCTATTTTCCGGGATGGAGGGAGTACAAGGTAAAGCAAGAACAATCTATAGCAAAACTCACAATTCCTCTCTCTAGTTTGGCGGCAGCGGCACAAAACCTAGGAGAAGAACAAAGGTCATGTACAAAGGCATATATAGCCATTACATGGGTTAGAAACTAACTAAGAATCAAATGCAACCCAATATGGAAACCTCTGCAGCACCGTCAATTTGTTTTGGCTCTTGCAGTGAAACCAGAAGGAATTTGTGTCCTGGGCCCTATCCACCACGTGGGCCATGCAGTAAGATTTCCAACGTGAGCTCACATGTCCAAAACGGACTCCGGACGAGAGAGAAACAAGCGTTTTAGTCCAAGTATGTCCGGGCTCACCCAAACCAAGTCCGAACTGAATCTCTTCTTCCTTATCTTTAAACTATTGTTTTGGAAGGTTTCAATTCGTGGGAATTTTTAAGTGGAATCCATATTAATAATAGGCTTTTACCTCCATTGCATTTGTATATGGAGGGCGGTAACTCGTGAAAGTACATGAGACCACGATCACACACATATATACATGACGACGAACGTGAAATCCCACCAGAAGCCTAACGTATTGTTTAAGTAGGTATATATATAAATATATTGATAGATTTGCACTCTACCTCTCTTAAGTGTGAGTAAGCTAGGTGCTAGAAAATTTGAGAACTCTTTGTTTTGTCGTATTTTACTGATTCGGTCTAACGGCTATCTCACTCCTAATTCCTGTATCAAATGGTTTCTCTTACCACGTGGATCAATTAGGTAACGTTTTGAGTTGCACCGTTCACTTAGACAGATAGCTAAACCTTCAAACCATCAGAAGAAATCATGGCGGCGTTCTGGAAATAAGATGAACAGCGGCATCGGCGCACGCCGGAGTCGAGAGAAAAGCAGGCCGGCGAAGCGGTACGCGCAAAAAAAAAAAAAAGGCCCAAACGTCCAACTGTGGCCCAGTCCAATTGTTCACTTCAGTTCATGGCCCATCTCCTCCTCCCATATCTCCCTGACTCAACCACGCTAGCCACCAACCCTAGAGCGGCACGACCGGCGGCGGCGTTGCGGTGGTGTTTGCGGCAGCGTGTTGCGGCGGTAACAGCGAGCCAGACGAGCAGCGATGCGCAAGGCAGCAAGTGGCGGCGCGGCGTGGGCAGGCGGCGACGCGCCGCGCGGCGCGCGCAGCTAGCTGCTAGCAGAGCAGCATCAAACAAGCAGCGCAAGCGGCAAGTGCCAAGCTAGCACCGAGTCCTCACTTCATGTTCCATTCTTTTTTATTATTATTATTATTATTTCAGCAACAGATGATGGGATTTACAAGAATTGGGCTCATTTTTTTACAGTCTTGATTTACTCATAGATTAGCGGTGAAGAAGAGAACAACATTGTTAAATTATCTTGCAAGCGATTTAAGTAATTAACACACTTCAACTGATGGGAGCATAAATCAACCAAAAAGACCTTGATCCTAATGATACCTTTTCTTGATAAATAGTTTTCTCAAATCATAGATGAAGCAAGGAGGGAATATTTGTTGAAGGCTCCAAATAGAGCGCTAACTTGGCTATTCCAAAGATATTAGATGGCAAGGTTTGGTTGATACAAATATGCAATATAATCACTTACTTTTCATTGGGAAGGTACTTCTTCTTTATGGTTTATTTTTTTAAGTCATGTATATGTTGAATAACTAGTGTAAAGATAGTTTTTGTTATAACTTATTAGTACTTTGAGGTTGAGCCTATCCTCTATTTCAATCCTGAATTTTACCACTGTCATCAGGTATGGGTAGCATCCATTTAATTTCTCATCCTAGTGATAGAGATCAACAAAGTCGTTGGACAGGTAGTGTTGCCAGGTGATCATATATATGCAAGCGCGGCTGCCTTCTATAGATGCATGGCCACAGATCTCCCCAGCTCATCCTCTTTCAAGAAGGAGCTGAAAACGATTAATTTAATTTCCATCAAAACGATAAAAGATGGAAACTGCAGGCGGCCACTGCATGCACCGGCCTCTGAACTTGTACGTTTGTATGCATGTGATACAAAGCTCAACACGTCAGCTGCGTCCATATGCATATCCGTCTCTCACACACGCATATATAAATTGTGCAGGTTGCAAAGGATGCTTTCCTTCCTTCCCTCCCTGATGAGCGATACTTCGATATCGCCAGGAGATAATAAATAAACACATAAGTACAGTATTAGTATTACTCCGTACTTACGCGTGAAGATGGATAGCGATGATGCGTTGGCTCGTGTGTCAATTAGGCTCGATCGAGTTTGATCGTTAAGTAAGTTCAGTTTATTGTTTCATTTGCACGGCATGCATGTTTGTTAGATGTGTGATACATCTGATTAATTATATATAGTATTTCATATATATGTTTCTTTTTTACGATGTTGATTAGTTCAAAATAAACTATAACAATAGATCATATAGAAAGTATATGTATGTGTGTATATATATTTATGTATGAACCCGTGTAGTTAATTAATTATATATAGCTTTGTTTTGGCGTGCGAAAAATGGAGATATACTGTGGAATTAGCTGCCAGGCCGGAGGGGAGAAATCATCGTGATGAAGTACTTATATATTTTTCACCTGGAGGTATGTTTTATTTGCTCTTTGTCAGGAAATCTAAATTACTTGTCGTTTACGCCGGTGTGAAGGGTTCTGAGATTTGAATGTTTGTCAAGTAGTATAATTTATGCCGCTATCATGCATGGAAGGTTCTGGTGATTTTTACATGCTTGTCAAGCTGGCAGATACTGCACGCCTTTTCCCCCCCTGATTTGCATGTAGTATTGTTTCGGTGTTCTCAATTTATTTCCGATTTTCAGAGCGATACGGCGTCTTATATTTACGTACTTTCTCTGGTAAAAAAACCAACTTAGTTTAGGAAGGGACGTGACTCCTCCTAGCTAGTATTGTTTTGGTGTTCTCAATTTTTTTCCTTGATTTTCAGCGTGGCACAGTGTCTTGTATATACCTTCTCCCTCCGTTAAAAAAAGCCAACATAGCTAGGAGGGGATGTGACCCCTCCTATTATTGTTTTGGTGTTCTCATTTTTCCCTTGATTTTCAGCGCGGCACGGTGTCTATATACATACTCCCTTTATCAAAAAAAAAAAAAGCCAACGTAGTTAAGAGGGGATATGACCCCTCCTAGTATTGTTTTGGTGTTCTCAATTTTTTCTCCTGATTTTTAGTGTGGCACGGCATCTTGTATATACGTATTGCCTCCGTCCAAAAAAAAGCCAACATAGCTTAACTACGTATTGACATCTTGTCTCAATTTTTTCTCCTGATTTTTAGGACGTGACCCCTCCTAGTATTGTTTTGGTGTTCTCAATTTTTTCCTTGATTTTTAGCGCGGCACGGCGTCTTGTATATACATACTCCCTCAGTGAAAAAAAAAGGTTATACTAGAAGGTCTCGCATGCTCTACTTGGTGGGCGTTTTCTTTCTTTTTTTTTTTACTGAGCTAGGGAGTACGTGCTAAGTGTTAACATTCGATCTGATTTTTTTTTTCAGGATAAATATCATATTAACCAGCTGTATGCACTTCACGGTGCAGAGAAGGCGACATGCAAGATCTTTTGTCATTGTCTCAAAGCATATTCGATCGTTCACTCGTTCTTCAATTACTTTTTAATATATAGTAACAAATTAACTAACAATCTATCCTCTTTATTTTTGCAGATATGTATCGGCGCGCATTATTAACGATTAACGTGGGTTGTGGTTCAAAACCGGATGCCGCCGTTGGTGATATATATTTGGATACACAAGACAGTCGGCCATATATATCGTCTTTAGGCCACACATATATTATATGTATCCCAGTAGCAAAAACATATTTTTCCTTTTTGCAAATTACAAGCTAGCATGCATGTAACAAATTCTTTTTTTAATAGATAAAAATTCATTCTCGCATTTGTTTTTCCCATGTCATCGTCATTAAGATTACAAAACATTTTAGTGAATAAAAAAAGAGGAACCGCTGCTGACTGCATGTATCGTGATGTTAATTTGTGGGAAACTATTCTAATCCCTCAGGGGATGTTCACTCGTTTGCTCAAAAACCATCTAAACGGTTATGAAAAATTCTGGAAAAATTTGACAACATTCATACAACACATATATACAACTTCACAAAATCTTAAGTCCAAACTCAACTCACACGTCGAGATATAAAAAAAGACAAATTCAGCGTATAAATAGTAGCGTACTGTTTATATCTAAATTTGTCTTTTTTTTCTCGATGTGTAGATCAAATTTGAACATGAATTTTGGTGGACTAGTAGGAATCATTATACTCTATATTGTCAATTTTTTTTCAGATTTTTTCACAACTATTTGCATTAAATTTGGAAGAAAAAGATATACGAGGGAATATCCCCTCGAGGGATTAGAATCCACTCCCGTTAATTTGTACTAGTACTATATAATGCTATGGAGATTTATTGGCTAATATTCGTACAGACCAGGTTCACTGAAAGAAGAGAGAAAGAAAGAAAGAAAGAAAGAAAGAAACCGCATGGGAACACGACGACGATGTGAGTGTAAGTTTCTCGATCGGCGCAGGCGGCTAGCTACATCAAATCAAATCGCTTTGTTTATTTCAGGTCGTACACGTGACACACGTCGAAGCGCATGCGTGCCCTATCCGCAGCCTCCTGTCTGGCTGTCTCGCCGCTGTCTCGATCGATCGACTCTCGCCGCGGCCGCGGGCGGCGCGCGCCACCGCACATCGATGGCATGACACGCACGCACGCACGCACGGGATATCGATTCGTCGTCTTTGCCGTACCTGTCGCCTCCTAGAGTCGACGCGTTATCCTCATTCTCTATCTGTGGCAGCGCGTGTATATATACTTGCAGAATCATCGTCGTCAACAACTACTAGTGCTGCGCCTGCGCTATACTTACACAGATCGATCACGTATGCCATTTATATAATATGGGCGCAAAATATTTGACGTGGACAAGTTTACAGGTGCATGTAATTAAATGGGCAAATTAATATATAATTAATTAATCTACTACATGTACCTAAACCTATCACTACTCATACTATATGGCGCAATGCAATCAATTATACATAATAATACAGGGCCGGCCGATGTATGGATCTGATCATATAGCAGCAGTACAGTTAATGAATATTAACACTTCTATTATAATAGTGGCCCTTAATTTTCCATGCATGCAGTTGATGAGTTGAATGACTTGAATCCAAGTGCGCTAGCTAGCTACGTACCTGCAGTTTCATATATATGTGATGCAAAAGATCTTTTTTTTTTCTCAAAAATGCTTATGTTAGGATGCTCGAGGTTACTCACTACTGCTCCATTATACGATGATGAACATATTCAACATTTTTTTTGTTGTTGTTGATATATATAATATCGTAGAAATTATTTCAAGGCAAAACCATTGAAATTTCCTCGGTATGCTATGAGGTTCGTGCAGCTGGAAACAACACTGAAACTACAATTTGGAGTAGCACGAATGAATGAAGAAAAAAAATGAAAATCCTCTAAAGGAAGAATTGAACATGCATATTCTTCTCTGATCGATAACGAGAGAGAGAGAGAGAGAGAGAGAGAGAGAGAGAGATTAGTAGTAGTACTACGTTCTATATCTAAGTGAAGCCTAAACGAGATATCTTAAAAACCGAAAATTATTAGCCATAAGATGATAAACCTGAACCGATCACCTCGATCAGATAACATTGATACGATTCTCGTTTATGAAAAGATAATACGTAGTAATTCTTTATCATAATTAAGAAATATATAGTTTCCTATATATATAAAAGAAATATGTACAGCCAAACTTCCATATACTGCTAATTCATATTATATAATTTGCCATTGTGAAAGTAATTAACGTGATTATATTAGTCATGCGAATTAGCTTCTCATTATATTAATCGTTAAAATTAATTTCATTATTATACAGCATTTGAAGTCCTTATATTGATTTCATCTAGAGATGGTCCACGAAATTATTTAAATCAAGCATATTGATCGTTTAATATTTCAAGATATATTATTTAGTCTCTAGTTAGATCGATTAGGGAGAGATCGCTGGGACCTCATAGATTTTTTTTTTTGAGTAGAAGACCTAGATGGAGATTAAATAACTGCAGACTTACATAGTAACAGTCAACTACATGTGCTCTGGCTAAGTGATAAAAAGAAATGACTGCAGATAGTACTCTAATTTAAGTACTAGTATATAAGTTCCATATATAGTAAAAACATGATCTGAAAAATAGCCCGAGCTACTTAGTAATAAGAGCACGTATCATTTTGAGAACCAGGGCAACAAAACAAGATTATACATAGTATATTTCCTATTTTCCTTTTTAAGAAAGAAGACTACCATACTGCTGTCCCAGACCGGCCCAAATATATATCAACAAACATATCCAGGCCTGGCCCACGGTGGCTTACTTAGGATATTTCCTCCATATATCATACGTGTATATAGTACGTATATAAGAGCAGGCAAAATTATATAATTCTGATCAGAAAAAAAACCCATACTTTTGTAGTCTCATTGAATGGAATTGATAGATCGACCGATCACAGCTTGAAGTTTAATGGAAGTACGCCTTGATTTGAAAGGGGTATTTGCCGACGAGAGAAAGCTCCATCAAAACCAACATGCATGAGTACGCACATAAGAGAAAACCTTCCAGAGATCGATATGTGGTAATTTTCGATGAGTTTATTCATGATCAGGAAATATATTCCAATGTGCATATGCAACCTAGCTATAACTGTAACTTCTGTGCACGATGTAGATTGAAGGACAATTAATTGTACAGTATAGAGTAGTATGTAAATATATGGCAGAGGTCGATCAAACCCGACAATAGTTAGCTAACTATGCAGCCATGCACCCTAATAAATGATATATATAGCTAGCAAATCATCATCTATCATCTTAATTTACCTTGGTGCCTGCTAGCTCCTTGCTTGCATCGTTGCCATACTTGATCTCTCTAGCTAAGCTAGCCTCCATAATTAATCTTTCTAGCTAGCTCGATCGTCTGAAGCTTTGTCACCGATCGATAGAGATCGTATACTCTACAATTGGCAATACTCGGTCTCCAAACTGCAGCGGGCTGGAATCTGCATGCGATATAGGTATTCAGAAGCTATAGGCAGCAGCGATAAATTCTTGCACAGATAAAAAACTGATGATATATAGAGATCTAGATGACCTGTGATTTACTGATTAGATATGTGTGCACATGAGCTGTGATTTACTAATTAGATATGGTGTGCAGCCCTCCTTGATTCCTTGCCTGGAGAAACTTAACATATAAAAAGCAAATCATGCATGCATGCTTGCATGCAGCACATATCACTCATGCGAAAAGCTATAGCTATAGAGAGGGTGCATCGAACGCACACAGCGTGGCACGACCAATCTCTCTTCGTCCGTGTGTAGTATATGCAGGTACCATACACTCATACAGATCGACACAGAGAGAGCTCGCACAGGTTGTGCCACGGCGTATGCGTCCGACATCACCCCTCTCTGATGAACCAATCCACCATGAAAGGAAGGAAGCAAGCATGCAATGATCGATCTGAGCAGCCTGTGGAATTAAACAACACAAATATCCAAAGAAGAGACAGAGATCATGAGCCCCAACATACATAAGCAGCTTAGCAGCTAATAATAAGGTTTAATTAGCTATACGTGCGTGCGTGTAGAGAGCAACAGATCTAGATAAGTTCGCACGCAGCGACGCTGCTGCCATGGACGGAGAAGGTACGTACGGTCCCATTAAATAGCAGAAACCCTAGAAGTGCAAATTACGTTCCTGTCCCTCTCCTTTGTGGGTGTGAAACTGTGAAAGGCCGCTGGTTATTTTGCGCCCAGCAAAAAGAAGATGAGATAGAGACCATGGATTGGGGTTGGTGCGTGGTGGGCCGGCCTTGGTGTGGATCACCTTCGCGCGCGACATGCACATCAGGCTGGCGCAGCCGCTGTACGTCAAGAACTTCACCACCATCGACGGCCGCGGCGCCGACGTGCACGTCGCCGGCGGGGCCGGCATCGTGGGCAACATGATGCCGGCCGTGGCACGCGGCGGCGGCGGCGGCGGCGGCGGCGGCGGCGGCGGGAAGGATCAGTGGCACTGGCACTCGGTCGGCGACGCGTTCGAGAATGGCGCGTTCTTCCGGCAGGTGGGCAACAGGGGTGCGCCCCAACTACAACCGGCACCAGGCGTTCCCGGCGGCGAGCGCCGGCGACGTCGGCGCTCTCACGTGCTCTGCCACGGTGGCGTGCTGACGATATAATTAACAACGTGAACGCCGCGTGCAAGTTCTGGTTTGTGTTTCCCTGCCATCTGACATGTATCAACAACTTGAGCGGCAGTGGTAAGTATGAATTATATATATATATTTTTTAGAGCTAGGGCAGAAGCCCCCATTTCCATTACTAGAAACGAGATGTCAGGTACAAAAAACAGGGTTCAGAGAAAAAGAAAAAAACAAAAGAAAAACCGGGAAAAGCGCAAACCCCCTACAGGAGAAGCACCCGGACATGAAGGACATACAGTTTTCCTACAGGAGAAGCACCCGGACAGGAAGGACATACAGTTTTCTGCAGGGCTACAAAACTCTCGGAAATCATTCAGAACACAGACAGCAGAATGAAAAGAAAAGAAACCCAGCCGACTATCAAAGCTTGCTTCTCTCTGTGTTTACAAAGTGCACCAACAGCACTTCTTATAAAAATCTCGACTAAACTCGAAACCCTAACTGAACTAGCAACTCAATTGCTCTCAAAAGCGATACCGGGAAGGCTCACGCTCCCCCTCTATTTATACATGAGGTAGGCAGCCTAAAGCCACGAACCAAACTCATACTAGAAGTCCTAAACACCTTAGGAAACCCTCTAGTACAAGAAACAAACTTTACATAACCAATCATACCAAATTTGAACTCCTTCCAAATTCGACTCCGCATCCCATACGCACAC